GTGTTGACTAGACGAGCACGAAAACACCTCAGAAACACTGCCACTAGCACGTGTGACGTGTGTAGAATTTTGTTGAAAGCCCAGATAAAAGTAAAAAGCTACTATTTTGGGTTTATCCATGGCAGTTCGACTTCACACACACGCGCGCGCTCTAAGCCAGTGGACACGCACTGTTATGAATGCACAATGTTTCGACTTTAATCTCGAAACATTTCGACTTTAATCTCGAAACATTCCGACTTTAATCTCGAAACATTTCGACTTTAATCTCGAAACATTTCGACTTTAATCTCGAAATGCTAGATTTTTTTATTTTTTTACAGATTTTTTTTTTTTTTTACAGATTTTTTTTTTTTACAGATTTTTTTTTTTTTTTTTTTTTTTAGGTTGCGGTTCAGGGCTTCCGTAATATTTTTATTCAGCAAGTGACAGTAAAGATATTTATAATTGTTACAAAATATTTCTCTTTCAAATAAATGTTCTTCTGAACTTTCTATTCATCAAATAATCCTGAAAAATGTATTTATATGTATTATTATTAAATGATTTATTATTATATTATTATTATATATTATATTATTATTATTATTATTATTTATTATTATTATATTATTACTATTATTATTAAATTTATTTATTTATTTAAATCACATTTATACAAAAATATATATTCAACATTGATAATAATAAGAAATGTTTCTTGAGCAGCAAATCAGCATATTAGAATGATTTCTGAAGGATCGTGTGACACTGAAGAAGACTGGAGTAATGATGCTGAAAATTCAGCTTTGCATTCACAATAATAAGTTATCAAAAAGTTTTTTTTTTTTTTTTAAACATAAAAATAAATGATATTACTTTCACAGTAATGTCCAAAAAAAAAAAAACTACAGTAATAATAACATAGCACTTTTTTGTAAATGCTGTGTATTTATTGAAAGGGTCTCTACTACTGGATGTGTCTAACATAAACAAATGTCTTGGTGTGTGTGTGTGTGTGTGTGTGTGTCCACCACGGTTTCCCAGCAGACCTGAGATTTAGCTTGAACCCCCCCATCAGTGTGTGTCTGTGCACGTATTTGCTTTACTCCTGCCGTGTAAAAATAGATGGAAAATTACAAAGTGGCATTCCCTACTGCTCTGGAAGGAAGTGGTCATGCACACGCACACACACACACACATACACACTATGTGGAGTTGTTTGAAAAGTCCAGGTGATACAAATGAACAGCTAATGAACTCATAACTTATGTTTTTAATATTTCAGCATATTTAGACATTTTAATAATTTAGCACATGTGGTCTTTTTAATATTTAAATATATTTAGTTACATCCATAATTTAGCAGCTCCACATTAAGCCAAACACTGGGCGATATGAACCAAAGTAATGGATTGGTGGAACTTCAAGCTCATTCTGGACAGATGTAACACAGCCCATAAATCATTTATCAAAACATTAATGGAAAAACCTTGAAGAAATCCTTGTTAATTAAAACAAGGATTATAAAATGTTTGTAAAAATTAATTCCTTGTACGTATCATTTTTTTAATTTAAAATTGTATTACTTACATAAAATAGAACGAGTAAACTTTTTTTACTTAAAATAACAATTGTCCACCGCTTCAAACACCTCGCCGTAACAGAATTACGTCTTTCTTCTTTAAACACCAAACAGTGCATCTGAATGGCAGAAAGTTGTGAAAACCCAAGTTTCTTTTGCTGGGCATTACAGACTTTTCAGTCTCTGTTGACTATCGGAGAGGGCCAATCTTGGGGTCCGCACTGTTGGATGTGATTTTTGGTGTTATTAGAGGAAAAAAGCGGAGGGCTCATGGACGAGGATCAGATCTCTGTGCAGATAGCGGTTGGTATCATCCTGTTCATCACAGAGGATTTTGTTCTGGAGTGAGCAGAACATGGGACAGGAAATGGGAATGAGGGAAACGCATGCATTAGCTTCTGTGAGCGGCCTCTCGCTACATATATTTCTCATATTTTGGGGATTTGTACTAATACCAGTGGCTTTTTGCTGAATACTAAAGGGTTTAAAAATACAATATAGCCATATAATTATCAAAATGAAATGAAAACCATTATCGTGAACACCAGATCTCCAAAACCTTTTGGAGTTTTGAGAGCTTAATGTTGTCTTGCTCATCCAGGCTCGGGTGCTGGTGGTTTTTAGAGTACATAAAGCTGTGCTGAGTGACTCTTTGACTGACTAAAATGAGGAACTGAACTGAAAAACTGCAGGAAAGGAGCAGAAACGCTCGAGCACTATCTCAACAGGGTAATTCCACACATAAGACCTCATCCTCAGTCTTGTCCAAACATAAGAGATTCAGTGTGTCATTAAAAGGCAGCAAAGCACAGAATAATCAGTTTATGTTTAGTCTTCTCCTCTCAGAGACCTGGATTTGGACATGTGTTGAAATGTTTTGCAACTTTGAGAGTTTGGAGGAAAAATGCTGTGGATTCCAGTCATATAAAGGTCAAGAAAATGCTCTTTTACTCTACATAAGACTTGGGTTCTTTAAGTAACAATGATCATCGCGGTTTCAATCACGCCAACAACATTGGTGTGTTGCCATGCCATTGTGATGGGTCTTGCGGTCTAGACCAATAGTTCTCAACTGGTTTGGCAATAGACCTTATTCAGAGCAGCGCCATGACCGGTGTGAAAGTGAGGCTGTGAGGGATAAACCATGTTTTCAATGGCACCCACTGTAAAAAGCTCATAGATCACTTATAATTTGGTCTACTGAAACTTCTCGGGAAGATATTTTTGCAGTTTTAAATAATAAAAAAACCACATAAAATAACAGCAAAACCCCCTTAAGAGATGCATGTCTATCTCTCACAGCCTCTCTTTCATTGCCGTTAAAATTCAAAGATGGCGCTGCTGTGAATAAGGTCTACGGGACCCACATTTTCCAATGGTCATTCAGCCGTGACCCAAATTTTGGGGAATTTGAACCAATCCAATTTATTCCTCAAAAATGGTTAACACACATGAGTAGTACTGTAAACATAGCTAGACGATACTTTGACATTTTGTTCTACAACAATTACTCACTCCCATAGCGAAAACGTGAATTTTGAAGGAGTTATGTTCATTTTTGAAAATGTTTGTTTTTAATAAGTAACTAAATAAAACTGAGTGTCTGCAGTGTACGTTGTGATGTCAAAATGTCAAAAAGTATTGTCAAGTTATGATTAGCCTACCACAGGCTTTATTTTACTCATAAATTGAAAAACCCCATCGGAAAATCTTGAAGGAATTAGACTTCCGGGTTCTGATGTCATACCTGTGCCACTCTATGGAAATGTAGCACAGTGGAATTACAAAAAAAAAAAAAAAAAAAAAAAAAAAAATTTCTGGCAGAAGAGCAAAGTGTTTACAGAATGTCTCTGTCAAAATAAAAGTCTCGCATCAGAAAAAAAAAAAATCTAGAAACAAGCTTTTGTTGTTTCTTTGACTTTGACCACTCAAAACGGTCTTGCAACCCATTTTTGGGACCCATCAGTTGAGAAACGCTCGTCTAGATTACTACTTTAACAGAAATTCCTATATAAAATTCAGTGCAGTTGATTTGCATTTTTATAAACTGTGTGGAATGCTCATGTTAGCATCCGAGTAGGAAGAAGGAATTTATGACTAAAGCCTCAGCCGTGTCATTCTAAGGTAAAACACTGGCCCATTTATACAGCCAGATAATATGGAAACGAATCTTGCTTATTTTCATGCTCATAAAAGTGCTATTTGACTAGTAAAATGAATAAACTAGTCACACTTGGTAAAAAAAATTCATAAATCAATGAATGAATAACTTTGAATATTTGCATCTTTTAAAAACAAAAACTGCTAAACTAGCAGTTGTGGTCTACTAGCGGTGAGGGTTCTAGTCTAGCTAGCAACATTTTCCAGTCTCACTTCTCTTCCAGCTCTTCTTTTCCTGTCCTTTCTCTATCATGGTCAAAAGAAAAAAAAGAATCAATAGGTAAAAATAAATAAATTAATTAAAATTTAGTTTTTAATAATGAATAATAAAATAATACAAATTATATAATCATGTAACCATATTTAGCTTCAGTCCTGCCTCTCTACATCTTTTCCAGTCCTTTTTTAAGGTTACAAAATAAAATGTCAAAGGTCAAAAAAAGAAAGTTAAATAAATATAATAAAATAGAAAAATAAAAATGTTATTATATTATATTATATCAAAATATAAAATTTAAATTTAAAAATCTAAATTTAAATTTTATATTTTTAATTTTAAAATTGTATATTTATATTTTTTATATTATAATTTTAATTTTTATTTTTAAATGTAATTTTTTTTGTTTAATTTAAATTTAAAATTTAAATTAAACAAAAACATAATACAAAATTACTAGGGCAGTGCAAAGATTAATTGTGATTAATAGCATACAAAATAAAAGTTTGTGTTTACATAATATATGTGTGTGTGCTGTGTATTAATGTGATAATTATTTTGTATATATAAATACATATGCATACATGTACTGTATATATTTAAGAAAATGTGTTATTCATATATAAAATATTTATATTTATATATAATATATATTATGTATTTATATATTATGCAATTAATTATGCAATTAATCTTTATGCAATTAATTATGCAATTAATCTTTGCACAGCCCTAAAAAATACTAAATATAATCATGTGACCAAAAGTGCTCGTAGAGTTCTATTCTAGCTTGGTAAAATTTACAGTAGGCCTATGGCTTGTCCTACAACCTTTTCTCTACTGTGATTATAAAATAAAATAAAAAAGGTAAAAAATAAAAAATGATAAATAAAAAAACTGATAATAAAAATAATAATAAATATAATCATGTGACCAAAAGTGGGCATACTCCATTAAAAAAAGAGCATAAAGTCTGACAGATTTCAACCAAAATTTAAACACACACTACAACAAATGTAAAATTTCACACTAGAGTTGGAAGTCCGAGGCGTTTCTTACCTTCAGTGAATCAAAGCACGCGATGACTCGCCCGTTCTCCACCTGGCAGCTCTTGGCAGGATGCGCAAACTTGCACTCAGCATCGGAGCGTGAGCACGTTCCCCGCTGAAACTCTCGACACACCTCCAGCGTCAGCCATTTCGTGTCCCGCATGTGAGCCATATTCATCGCCATCTCGCTTTAGCGGCAAGCAAACTTCAGATCCTTAAAATCCCAAAGTGCTTTGGGTGTGCTTGTGTTTTGTCAAAAGTAGTCTGTCCTTTTTGCTAATGTTCTCTTTCTTAGATCATTAAGCTCCTCTTTCCTCGTGGATAAACGCCAGGCCAAAGGAAAAAGAACAAACCAAAAAAAAAAAAATGTTGCTTCAAGGAAAAACTGAACTGCAGTAATGGATCCCAAAGCAAAAATCCTAGACTCTGATTGGCTGATTCAATAGTGCCCACTTCAGCTCTGTCAGGTAGGGGTGGTTCGGGGTCACAGGGATTGTGGGGTTGTGCAGGCAGTCTTTCACTGATGTGGGCAGCAAGCAGGCAGGAAAGCTGAGGCTTGTACTATAAGCAGCTCCAAGCAGCGGCAGACGCAAGAGAGGGCACGATACTTAGTACCCACCTGCAACAGAGGAAAAGAGGAGGAAGAGCTTTATACCGGCTCTTCAGCAAACATTTTCATCAGTCGAGTCTGTGGTTAGATTATTTCACTGTGCACTAAACTGAAACAAACCGAATAAGCACTTTCGACGACCTGAAATCTAATATTTCTCACCAATTGTTGACAAGTGTTGGACATGCAAAAATAACATGTTAGCTTGCTGTCCATTGTTATCTAGTATGTAGGCATATGCATTTTTTTTTAAGTTTGCAACTTAAATAAATGTATTACTTTATTAAAGTTTATATATTACAATCTGAATTTCTTCTGGTTTCTAAAATAAAATAAAGAAAAATCTTAATAAAGTTACACATTGAAAACATAAATACAAATAAATATCTAATAAATTTTACGTTCTCAGGAAAAGGTGCAACAAAAAAAAAAGAACTGTCCTCGTTGAAAAATAAATAAATACATTTAGAATGTAAGTTAAAATATCTGGTAACTGAAATTATGGCAAATTTCACCTTAAAACTATGAAAAAAAATCTATCTATTGCAAATAAAAAATGGAATAAAAATTTAATCATCTTAGAGGACACAATAACTTCCCCTAACTGAAAAATCACCCATACAGTGTATAATACATACTATTATTTTTCCCAAAATAGCATGTGATATGGAATGCTTAATGCAACAATAACTATTTCAAACTATAGCATGCTACATTACCATCATATGAGCTCATCATCATGAGGCCATCATATGACTCCTGTTTATTTCCTCTGTCCACGTAGAAATAAACATATTGTGCATTTTTCATCCAGTTTCATGCAAAAATAGATCAAGTATTCAAGGAATGTCAAGTTGGGAGCATTATGTTACTACATACTGCATATTTTGGCAGATGCAGTAGAAGAAGATTATCCAGGTATTCCACACATACAGAAAATGCACATTCTGAAAATTCACTGCATGGAATTGTGCTCATTAGGACAGACAGCAAGAGAAGAATTGGGACGCAGCCGATCTTCCACTTTATCTCACAACCTTTCTCATTCGAGACTCTCACCAGCTGCATAAATCCTTCACACCCCTAAAAATGCCAGAAATGCACTGAAGTCTGCAGAATACTGTTAGTCAGAGCAAATAAAACATTGTCACTCACATTCCTGGACTAACACACACCCCACTGACACACATACACACTGGTCTCTGTCTTATCCAAACACACATACACACACACACACACGGAACACATACAAAGCAACCCTTCAGAATTGTATGTTTCAGTCCAGTTTGAGGAAAACTGAACCAAATAACACATCTACAGCTAAAGAGCTGTGATGTATCATTTATCAGAGAGTGAGAAGTTGGAAAGTGAACGGCGAGGTCATTTCCTGTTTCTCTAAACTAAACTATTGCGCGACTCGCAGTGAGCCAATCACAGGCAGAGATGTAGCAATGTTCCGGACGCATGCCAGTTGAGAGCAGTAGATCAGACTGAGAGAGGGTGACACCTTTACAAAAATCTAACATCATTTTAACTTGAATGACAGTTATTCCATTTATTGTTAGTATACAACCATGCAAGATTGGTATTAGCAACCAGTTCCATAGAAACAAGAAAAGAAAATTAATTAAATTAACTAAATTTAAAAAAAAAAAAATTATAACTAGACCAGAATAACAGAGACTTGAGAGTGACCTCTTTTAACTTGGGCCAATAAGTAACCACCTAGCAACCAATCAGAATACCTTAGCAACCATCCACAACAAAGTGCTAAAGTGCCTCTCTGAATAGGGTCTGTATGCGCAAGCACCACTCACACACAAAAAAATGGAAAAATATAGTAAATATTATTAGTATTTTCCAGTAGTAAAAAACAAACAAAGAAATACATATTTATGATTCTATAATATTATATATTATAAATAAATAAATAATAATAATAATTGAACTTAAATATACAGGTTTATAATTCTATAATGTATTCTTATAAATAAATAAATAATAAAATTAATTAAATATATTATAAAACAAACAAACAAGGTACACTACAAAATCCATTAACATATTTACTGACATATCACTTGAGACTTAAATGAGATTTATTTGGAGTATTTATTTATTGCACAATGCACATTTCTTAATATAAAGCCTAAACTGTATTTTAATATCACTATTAGTAAGGATAGTATGATCACTGTGTAATACCAGTCTTTAAATGCAAGATATTTAAAGTACATTTCAAACATACTTAAGTATATCTTTAGTTTAGACATCAGCACTATTTCTGGATAACTAAAGTCTAGTAAGTACAAAATTTGTTTAATTACGTTTATCAATTTAGTATAACAAAAGTACAATTGCAGAGTATTTATGTTAAGCGCAGTACATAAATATGTATGTATTTGTATTATATTTACTTTCTTTATCAGAAATATGGTTATCATGGTACATTTTTGTAAGAGCACTGGTATGCTACCTTGGATCAAATACATTATAAAAACAAACACACACACACAGCCCTGTTTATGGAATGACATATTTAATCTGATAAGTCTTTCAGTGATGAAGCAAACTGGATCCTGGGAACACTGAATACTCAAAATAGGCTAAATGATTTTGTGAAATGAAAAGTAAGCGATCGCTCTGGATAATGTGAATTCATGAGCCTTGCAGCGTGATTTTGATCTTGCATTAAACAGGCTCATGCCTGCGTTATCTGTGTTTACTGAGAAGAGGAATAATCGCCATGACAATTAAAGAAAATTCATGCTCAGACCTGGATCCTACTTTAAGATCCAAGTCTTCACTTGATCATAACGATGCCGTTTCTTTGGTCCAACTTTTCTTTTTTGGTTAAATGATTTGGCTATTAAGTCACCATATATCTCCCACAATCCTTTGCGGTGGAATAACAAAATTCTTAGAAGTTGCTGCAAGGTCAAACAAGGAGAGAAAATAAGAACGACCGAGTGAGAGAGAGAGAGAGAGAGAGAGAGAGAGAGAGAGAGAGAGAGAGAGAGAGAGAGAGTATCTGGAAGTATGCCAATCAAAGCCCATTAAAAAGTCAAACATTTTTGCCACTGGGAGGAGAACTGGATGTTATGTTCTCGTTTAAGAATTGGAAACTATTTCAATGATTCACATGAATGAGATATTAAATGTTTCATTCTCTTTGCACTTTGGCTCATGGCTATATTTACGTCTACTGATGTCTAATATGCTCCTGCTGGTGAAAAATGCCTGATTGAACATTTTGATTTCCACTGGCTCTGTTTGTAATTTGGCAGCAGTGCAATATTAAAAGACTAAAATTGAATTATAACTAAAGGTTAAAATCAGTCTGAGTTTAGTCTGTTTAGGAAACAAGAACAAACACTGCCTGCAAAGATCTTTGACTCTTGAAATATGCATCATATTACTATTGAAACAGCAGTGTTTGAGACTGGTTCACATTTGTAAACATGACAGCTAATACCCATATGGGAAACTGTTACCGTTTAAGGATCTAAACACTTTTATAAACAGAACCATACTGTCGGAACTAAAACTAGATGGATTTTTACAGTATGATAAGTTCCACAAATAACTTTATTCTCTAGTTCTTTAGAAAACCATATTTGAACTTGAAGAACACAGAAACCAACCAGCTGATCTAAAGAATACGATGAATGTAACAGCAAGAACGACAAGAACCAATACCAAAATACCAAATATTCAGCCAAAAATGATTTTTTTTTTTTGGAAATAGGCTCATTTTACCACTCCCCCAGAGTTAAACAGTCGAGTTTTACCGTTTTCGAATCCATTCAGCCGATTTTCTTTTTTTTAGAAGAATATTAGTAACCAGACAGTTTCTGGTCTCATTGACTTCCATACTATATTTTTTTCCTACTATGGAAGTCAATGAGACCAGAAACTGTGTGGTTACTGATATTCTTCTAAATATCAGAAAATCGGCTGAATGGATTCGAAAATGGTAAACCCAACTGTTTGTAAAATGAGCCTATTTCTAAAAAAAAAAGTAGAGTATCCCTTTAAGGTTGTGTTAAACCTAATGTTTATGACCATACCTTAAAAATAAACATTTAAGAACAAACCTGTATGTTTATTAACCCAAAACCACATAACTAACTACAGCTTTAAAGTACAGCTCATTTTTCCGAATCTATCAGACTCAACCACAATCTGAGATATCAAATGGATCTTTATGATGTCGCTTTGCAACTCAGAAGTGAAATGCTTCTGATCTGGAATCAGGCAAGATGTGAACGCTCTAAAATCCTGATTATATTTACTCCCCATTCAGCGAAAACCCAAATCAGCATGAAGGAACTGGCCTGAATCTGGGTGGAGTGCTTGATCAGAAAGGTGTGCGGGCACCAGAGATGGTTATCTAAACCACAGCATTACATCGTTTGACTCAGACGTGTGTAGGTGATGATTGCCATGTTGGAAAGGGTTGAAAATAGTATCATCACCATGGTTACACAGCACAAAGCCCTTCTACCCAGTAACTCAGACACATGCACAGTTTATAACGTTCTGCAAAGCTGAGAGAATCGAAAAGGTTGAAGGTTAATGGTTTTCAACATGTTATTTATTAACTATTCAAAATGACAAGTTCAGTATGATAAGACTTCAAATTTTATTAAAACACAAGTATTTTTCTACAATGCCCTCTAGATGTTAAGCGCATAAGCGTCTTGATACATTCAAGATCAGATACATTTCATTAGTGGCATTAACGACACCATGCAAAAACACAAAGCATTCTTTGGCAAATGAAAGTCTAGCATCAGACAAAAAGCAAGAAAACCCAAGGATAAGATGTGAGATGGTGCGAACACATATGTTTATCGTCGAACGGTCGTATAATAGGGTAACAATATATTTTAAGGTGATGTAATAACACTTCACTACATGTACTTACAATAGTAATAACATTGTAACTAACCTTAAACCAATCCCTAAACTTTATAGTAAGTACATGCAGCTAATTAGCATTACTCAGTACTTATTTGAGTAAGTACGTCACCTTAAAATAAAGTGTGACCTATATGGGATTAAACCACTTACATGACTCTTTTTGCATCCATGATTATTCACCGTTTACATTGCTAATGCAGAATTCTGCTAAAAAAAAGATGTAGAGCTAGTCTGAACAGAATTGGAAGTGAATTACAGAGAACTAAAGTGAAGTGTGCTTCCCTATAAAGACTCCATGTGCTTATTTTCCTGACACTTTCACTTTCTCAACTACAGCGTGCCGTCGACAAAACCCGAAGACTTGGCGCCAGACCACCCCAGACATATTATTTGTATATTTTCCTTCCTCCCCCTCCAAAAAAACCATGATCTTCAAACAACTCAAACAATGGCTTTAATCACACACACCCTTCTCGGCGACGATGCTCTTTCATCATTTTCAGACTTTTAATAGTCTGCAGCAGTAGCAGAAACAATAACCCGCCTATGAAGTGCCCTAAAAGTCAGCATAACCTGTTCTGAAGGAATCTTCTCTTACATGTTTAAGTTTCCCTTTAGCGCAGGAAAACCACCGCGAGCAGGCTTGCGAGAGCTCGAATCCATATGTTTCTCTCTGCAGTGAGAGCGTGTTCAGCGTTTACTTACATGACTGCATGGAAGAGTGACGCACTCAGACAGAAGTGAAAACCTGCGTCAACATCTCTCTCCCCTCTCTTTTCCCTCTCGCAGACAGTTACGCTCTCACACACACACACACACGCCCCTGTGCAGTCCCAGGGTGCCTGACTGGGTCCTACCGCTCTGAAATCTAGCACGAGCCATATTAGGAAACAGCAGTTAAACATGTCACACGTAATTTACATGTGGGGGGGAGTGGAAAGAAGCTCTGTCGTAAGAGCCCAAGAGCGTATGCAAAAAAAAAAAAAAATTGAAAAAACATGCACACGCTGGTACGCGCATAAAACAAACAGAAGGGAAGTGAGACCCGAGAGGGGGGTTTAAAAAAGGAGAAGTGCTCTCAGGATCAACAGTTAACCAATCGCGCGGCTGCCACTGTCTAAACAAGTAGCCGGTCGCGGAGGGGTGGGGGAGTACCTGCGCGAGGGACGTTTCCTGCCAAACGCACAGATGCAACCGCAACTTTTAAGTACGCGGAAAAACACTGCTGAGATTTGTTTGCAGTCCCCAAGACATAACAAACTGCAGTTAACCACAAAAGCACCCTATAAACTCAAAGGCAGCCCACACACACACACAGAATAACCCCCCATCCTCACACAGCAAGCGCGCAAAAGTGGTGCAGTGCTTCAAGCCGAACAGCGGAAGAGAGACAGACAGGAACGGGAGCGCGAGAAAAAGCAGTTCTTACCTCTCACATCATGATTACTATTGAGTGCGCGTATGTGTGTGAGAGATCAGACACGGGCGGCAGGCCGCGACAGCAGAGCCTCAGGCACCGGGTGGACCATTCTCAGAGAGGAGGAGAAAGAGAGAGAGAGAGAGAGACAGATAGAGAGACAGAGCGCGTGTGGCTGCTGGTTGCGCCACTGTGTGTGTGTTTGTGTGAGCCTGCGAGAGCGAGAAACATCAGCACTGCGCAGAGCACCGAACTCAAGCGCCAATCACGCTCACTGGAACCGCCCACCCACACAACCAGGAAGTGCTGCTGCTAATGCTTTGAGTTCCTCACCAAAGAGAGGAGAAAATGAAAAGGGGAGGGGACAAAAGGAAGGAAAGGGAGGTAAAGAAAAGAAAACGAGTGTGCTTGTGAGATTACATCGTGCTTTCCCTGGAGCCTGTCTGCGTTCGACTCCAGACTGCAGTGGGACACGCATACACACACACAGCTGTACACCTGGTGCATTGTGCGACAAAGTTATCTGCTGCAAGGAAAGAGAGAATTTGGGCTTAATTTGACTCCGAATATGGGTTACGGTCATTTCAGGAGAGAAACACATCATGCACTATAATCCGCTTTGAAAAGCGTGATATATTTACACCATAAGCTATTTATTAAATGACACTGAGGAGAACTAGGTTGCCTTAATTTATTTCGCTGATGTTAATACTAACAAACTCCCACATGGCTGGGAATTTAGAGTCCCTTCAAACTAAACAATATTTTCCTGGAGGATCATAAAGCGTTGAAACTGGGGCATTAGTTCATTATCTTCTGAAGGAAAAAAAAATGCTTTATAGCATTATTTGCATATTTGAGCCTCGCCCAGCAACGACTGCGGTTATGACTCTATCCGACTACTGGGGAAATTGTACATAGCTCACAATGGAATAATCATAATAATAAAAGACGATTAACTTTTTTTGTGCAAAGGTCAATAGAAAAAGGGAAACTTGCTGTTGTACATACACACTAAACACAAGGATTTTGTTTTTAGAATTGATTAGAGATTCACTTACGCTGACGGTTCATGGATATGTGAAAAGCTAAGGTGTGTCCTGGGTTCTTTTAGGTTTACAATTAACGGCGTGTGCTAAAATGCCCTATACACCAGTGTTACTTTAGTATAATTTATGTACTTCACACTTTAGTTAAAAACTTTAAGTTTTAATAATTTAGTGTTTTGCTTTTGTCATTATTTTTAGTGTTTTTAGCTTTGGAGATTTTCAACCTGCTTTCTATTGCTACATTGTTGGTAGTCAGAGATGTATAGTAACGAAGTAGAACTACTTAAGTACTAAAATGCTGTATCTGTACTCTACTAGAGTGTTGTTTTTTTTCTCATACTTCTACTTTTACTTCAGTAGATATTTTCTATGAATTTAATACTTTTACTTCGAATTTTTTTTAATGTTCTGCTAGTTACAATTATACAAATTTTACGAATCATACGTTGCAAGTTGGCTTTCGTGCTGCCTAAATCACACGCCAGCGTAATGGTATTGATTGACACACACATTGAAAACTAATGCAGGGGTTGTCATGCAATGATATTTTTGGCGTCTGCCAAAGCAAATTTGTATCCCGCCAAAGCCCCTTATTTGATTGCTAGTTCAAACTTTTGACTGCTATCTTTAATAATTACATGACACAATACTTGTACTTTTACTTTTAGTACTTAAGTAGTGAATTTTAAAATAAACTACTTGCAATACTTAAGTACAAAAAATGTTGAATACTTTAGTACTTCTACTTAAGTGTGGTGCTTAAAGAGCACTTGTACTTTTACTCAAGTCCGGGTTTCTAGTACCGGGTTTCGGTAGGCCGATATTATCGGCCGATATTAGGCATTTTCCAAACTATCGGTATCGGCAGTTATAATGGCCGATAAATTAATATTTCAAAAATAAAATAAAAACGGACGAAACACGCTTCAACCATGTCATGAGTGTTGGAGTTGTATAGTTTGTCTACCAGAGGGCACTCCATACAATATCTGTTAGCAACACTCGTATAACGCGCCACACATTCTGCAAACTGCTGATCCAGCCAGAGTCGGGCAGAGAAAACCAGTTATCCGCGAGTGAGATCGTCGTGAAGTATGTTCATGGTGAGTTGGTCACAAGAAATACATTGCTTGAATAACATCTCCATCAGTTCTCTTAACTCAAATAAGCATGACAAAATTTGTGACTATCATATCCAGATTTGCTGCTGTTAAATAAGCCGAGAGTGAAGCGGAATCGGCTAGTAATAATTACGTTACTTTGTTACAGTGTAGTTGACTGACTGTCCTTTTAACTTTTGACAATGTGACTGAAGTATTTCTTTAATAGCACGTGGCAGTTATAGTAATGAGACATATCATCTCTACTTGGCCTGTTATGTATGTATTACAATTTGCAGTATGATGTTATCCATTGCTAAATTATGGCTCATCATAGACTAGCTAACCACAAAGTTAGCTAATGCCACTATCATCAGTGGATAACCGCTAACGTTAACATTAATGAGCTTTGGTTCCTCTGCTCTGTTGCGACAATAAAAGAAACAAGTTTCTTTTTAAAATGCATTCTCATATTTTAGTTAAAACTCATATATAACTACAAACTAATGTTAAGGAAATCTGTTAATGTTTTGTTGCACGTTTCTGAAAATAAAATAAAATAAAAAATATCGGCCGATATATCGGAATATCGGATTTTAAAACCAACAAATATTTGTATCGGTATCGGCCTTCAAAATCATTTATCGGTCGGGCTCTAGAACAAAGTTTATTCATTCACAATGTTACGTTGACCGAATTCACCTTTATTTATCAGCAAAAACCAAAAATGATTTTGACAGCCCCAAGACTTTTGTGAAAATAGCAGTTTCTTTGTCCTAAAACACTGTGTAAGTGGTCATCCAGTTTGAAATGTTGACAACAAATTACGATTCTTTGCCGCCTTTAGACGCTGCCATAAAACGTCACTGGAAACCGAAAGTAACTCACTTTCACTAAACGTTAACTTTGAATTCTTGCACTTGGGAACAATAGAAGTCAACACTATTATGAATAAAAGTTTGCTAAGAAGTATTTCCTAATAAAGCAAGGTGGTATTTGACTCCGGTAAGTGTATGACTGGTGGCAGTGGCTTTGGACGGAAACAAGCCCAGTGTATTACATTTTTTTTTTTTTTTTTAAAGTCTACACTATAGGCAGCCAAATTGTATTGAAAGCCATTTTTCCAGTGGTGGAGTATCCCTTTAAACATATTTCAAGTTAAGTTTAAGTTTTTCCATCTAATATTTATATTATATTGTATTTCAGCTTTATTTCAATTAACAAAAATACATATTTTTTGTTTTAGTTAATAACAACACTTTTATACATAGTACACACACTAGTCTTTTAGACAGTTTGTTTTCTATATCTATTATCAACAGTCTCAGAATCACCTTTAACCACATTTAGCAACACATTAACAACTAAACTGAATATGCATACTCATATAGTTGAACAGAAATGAATATTTAATGCAGCTTGAGCTCTATGCGACATACTGTTACAATTAAAAGAGAAAATCATTTCAACTTGGCAAGTTGTCCCATTTTGCAGTTGGACAATTTGGACAAGTCTGGCCTTTTTTGCATCTAATTCAGACCAAATCTGTTGTTTTTAAGTGGCATTTCTGCCAAAATGCATGTATATAAATTTAAGGGTGGGTTTATTTGAAGAAAGTTGGTAATTGTTCCTCTGTGATTGATGCTATACTAGCATTGAACAAAAAAAATCAAATAATTGTAGAGAAACAGAAAACAACAAAAACATACAAAAAATTATTATAAGTGAAAACTAAATATCAATCAAAATGTCCAAAATAAATTTATATTGATAATTTGTGCAACTGATTAGATGGAAATAATTTTACAGATAAAACAACGTAGAATATGTACGTGCTTTAAACAAAACCCTAAGTCTCTTTCAAAGATTTGATGTCAATAACCTGACAAACTTTGTCAACTAAATGAAGCTAAATGAAAGATTACTGCACCAGTTTAAACTCAAGTTTCAGATTGGAACCTGCATTGGTTGCATTGTAAATGTGAATTCTGGAACATTTGTCACGTACATTTAGCATCTACCATAGTTTCAGATTTGTGCTTGTATCTTATGTGTGAATAATAATAATAATAAAAACATACCCTTACCTGAATATAAATGGAAATAACTTTTGTAAATTCTTGTAAAAAGTATACTTGTAAAGTCGATTTCCCCATGTCTAGACATCAGGGTGGTTCGCCTAATAAATGAAATGTTGGTCATACACAATTACCACAGCAATGTTACTAGTAACTTGATAATTTAAAACAGTCATGTGAACTACAATAGGCTCGATATCAAAATGGTTAGCCTGTTCAGGTACCCTCTGGCTGGCATCAGCGATACATTTATGATAATTTATGCTGTTGACTCCAAGACGAGGGGAACAGTCCAACTCTGGTTTATATTAACAACCAGACACACACACACACATACACTCTCATTTCACTCTGCCTACCTCTTTCCCCATTTCCCTCAACTGACCAATTCATTCAGATATTACACATGGGGAAAATATTCATCTTCTTCCTTTCCGTATACATTCATGTCCTCATATTTTAAAAGGTTGTTTTGGTATTAAGAGTGACGATAGTGGCAAAAATAGTCACACAGTAAGAGAATATGGTCATACTTTCCACTGAAATAGCTTTCGTTTCGCTCTCAAGTTTTATGACATATGGGAGTCTATTAGCAGACCATAAAATAAAATAACCAAACACTTTTGTTTATGCATCCGCACAATTTTACATGTGCATTTCTCTAAATAATTAGCTAAAAGTATCAATGCTGGTAACTTTTTCTAACATCTTAACTTTTTTTTTTCAGTAACCAAAGTTTACTTTACTGTGGGTTGAATAAAAGTATGAATTTCTTTCAAAATCCTGTGAATGGTGTGTATTTATAAAGATATTAAATAGCTAAGGTAGTTTTTGTTAGTATTTCCGTCTTTTTCAAAAGAGCAGCTTGATTTTATATTAATGATATAACTGTACTTTATATTAGGGTTATCTTGTAGTTTGGCAAGCTACAGTTTCAAAGCACTTTCCCCAACACTGGTGCACAAATGCGCACGCACACG